GTATTAACCCCCCCCCCCCCAATATACCCATCCATATCTTCATTGGGAAAATTTTAGTACTTTAAGAGTAGTGTAATCCCTAAAAGATTTTTAGGGTTACGTCTTCAGAGGGGGGAATGTTAGGATAACAAAAGCCCCATTGGTTTCCTCTGGCCCATCCCTGCTTCATCTCCCAAAGCTAGATGTTTCCTAAGGAATGTCTGGGTCCTTTTTTTCCGTCCTTGTCCAATTAAATTAGAAGGCCTTAAGGCTCAACGTATTGGAGGAGTGAAAGTGAGGGCCGGTTTCACTATGCAAATGTGCGCCAGAATCTACAATCAGAAAGTACCCCCTTCTTACTCATCTCTGAACCTGCTCAGCCTGCAGACTCTGGGACCACACCAAGCAGGCCTCCTCGCTCAGCCACACCTGGCCCACTTCATGGTGAAAGTCCCTAGGCCTGCAACAAGGAATCTCACACCTGGCAGCAAGCTCACCTCTTCAGGGCTGAGACCTCCCTGCACCACCTTGCATGGGCAGGAAGCCATAGATATCAAACTCAGCCACAATTTCCCATATCCTATCTGCATTTGTGATTATCAAAAATGCATTTGTAAGCCAGGTGTGGTGGTGCATGCCTTTAATTCCAGCACTCGGAGGCAGAAGCAGGAGGATCTCTGTGAGACCGAGGTCAGCCTGGTCTACATGACAAGTTCCAGGCCACAGGTGGGGCTACAGGGCAACCATGGAAGAAAAAAAAGAAGCAAGGGAGAGGGAGGGAAGGAAGGGAGGGAGGGAGGGAGGAAAGAAAAGAAAGAAAGAAAGAGAAAGAAAGAAAGAAAAAGAAAGAAAGAAAGAAAGAAAAAAGAACACGAAGTTGTCAGAAAAAAAGCGATGGGGAGATATGGGAAGTGTTGGGGAGGGAGTGGGCGTGGATTTGATCAAAACACCTTATATATATGCATGTATGAAATTCTCAAAGTTTTTTTAAAAGTTAAATAAAAAAAAGAGTAGTGTAAATATTGCCTCTTTTGTGAGGTGTTTACTGACACCTTTAGGTAGAGTCTGGCAGTGTCCTGTGTTCTCTGAACTGACTGTCACACATACTACTACGTTTGTTGCAGAAGAGGTAACAACTTACATGTCTGTAACCTCTGATTTTTTTTTTATGTCAAATAATAGAATATAAAAAAATGAAGAAATTCAGTTAATATTAGGTAAATGAAAAAGGAGACTCGTTTTTGTTCTCATTAGGAATTTCAGGAACTCCTACAGTATCGAGACAACTCAGATAAGACCCTTGAGACTAATGAAGTGCTGCTGGAGAAACTTCGGCAACGAACACAGGACCGAGCTGTTGCCCTGGAGGTACCCTGCCTGATTCTCTCTACACCACAAACTGTCCTGTCCGTAACACATAGATGTTACAGGCATTTGTGTCTAGTTTGCTCTTTGGGGTTTCAGTTTCCTGTTCTTTCACATTTTGAATTTAATTGAATAACGGTGATCAGGATAATGAACACTATGAAATTTAGGAGCTTTTCTTTCCCTGCAGCGGGCCATCGATGAAAAGTTCTCTGCTCTAGAAGAAAAAGACAGAGAACTGCGCCAACTTCATCTTGCCGTGAGAGAACGAGATCATGACTTAGAGAGACTGCGTGGTGTCCTCTCGGCCAACGAAGCCACCATGCAGGTAGGAGCAAAATCTGCCATCGATTTGGTCTCTTTCCCCACTTGCCTTCTGAGCCTGAAACATCAGCCTCTCCATCATTTTCTGAAACCCAGAGGATTTGCTTTGTAACAAGAACGAAATTGAAAACCAAACAAGTCACATTCACCAATTTCATCATTGCTGATTAGAGCGAGAAATTGCAGCATTCTGTTTCTTTTATGTTCTAACCTTGGAGGGGGAAGGAGTCAATACTGATTCCTATTTATGTACTTCTCATTTATTTCTTATAATGTATTATTTGTATCTTCTCATTAATATGTACATATCAATATATTGTGCCCAAATGGGTGCTTGTTTTACTTGGGCATTTTCCTACTCGTTTTAGAGCTAATACAGCTAACCATCTGTGTCTTAAAGAAATCAGTTTCTCTGTAGAGAAACTGTTTCTTCCAAATACTCTGTTTTATCATGTACCCTATATTTACCCCTCCACCAACCAACTGAAAGTTTCCAAAAACAAAGCAAAACAACAATAAAAAAAGGTTTGTATTACATTCTTTGTCTTCTCCTCTCACCAAAAAGGATAAGCAACAACTTAAAGGTAGACCTACTTTCTTGTTTATCCCAAGGAGAGTGGGGTACCTCTGGCTTATGAATTCCTCTGTCATCATAGAGTATGGAGAGTCTCCTGCGGGCCAAAGGCCTGGAAGTGGAACAGTTAACTGCCACCTGCCAGAACCTCCAATGGCTGAAAGAAGAACTGGAAACCAAATTTGACCATTGGCAGAAGGAACAGGAGAACATCGTTCAGCAGTTACAGACATCACTGCACGACAGGAACAAAGAAGTGGAGGCAAGGCTGCAGTTAACTCAAAGGCCTTGGCTTGGGGGGGTCATGTAGCTCAGCCTTGAGTCAGAATGCTTCCGGTCTGAGATGTCCAAATCTTTAATTATAACCTGTGCCTGGGCAAGTAACTAATGTTCACTGGGAGTCCTTTTTACACCTGTAAACTTAGGATACCAATTATCTTTCTCAGAGAGGTTGTATGAGAATTAATTAGATCTAAAATTATATTTATATTATAACTAGTCTCCATGATAATAGTTGTGATGATCATGCTGAGTCAGGCACTGTTTTAAGAGTTTAATGTATACTAGCTTATTGAAGCTTCATGAGTTTATGAGGGACATACTATTACCTCTGCTTTACAAACAAGGAAATAGACTTTTGAAGTTAAGTAACTTGTCCAAAGTAACAGCCAAAGTGGCAGAGCCAGGATTCAACCCAAATAGTACGGCTCCACAGTTCTAACTGCCATGTACTGTAGTTCTCATATAGAAGTAGGAACTGTATCTGTATCATGCTACTCAGAAGCAGTTTCCTTATTCCTTTTTTCCCCAGATAGGGTCTTACTACGTATCCAGGCTGGCAGCACGCTCATAGCCTCCTACCTGTAGCTCCCGGGTGCTGGGATTACAGAAGCATGTGGCACCATACCCAGCTCCGTGTTCCTTTGTAACCTATCATTTTATGCTCTCTCTCTTAAGTTACACTATAGATGAAATAAGGGAGCTGTGTCCTTTTGTTCTCATCTAACATTAATGGTTATGTGCCCTAAGCATAAGGGAAGGACTGGCTTCAGAATCATGTTAGTGTTCATTCACTGAGCTTGCCTGTCCAGCCTTCCAAGTCATAGGCCTGCGCTAGATCTGGGGATACAAACATGAATTGGGAATAAACGTGATTCTTATTCCCAAGAATCTTATAACCTGTGCATGGTAGGGTCTTATACAGCCTTTGATATGTAGGAGAGAGGATTCTTTCTTCAAAAACTTACACTGTCCATTTTGCTTTAGGATCTCAGTGCAACATTGCTCTGCAAACTTGGACCAGGGCAGAGTGAAGTAGCTGAGGAGCTGTGCCAGCGTCTGCAGCGGAAGGAAAGGATGCTGCAGGACCTTCTGAGTGATCGGAACAAACAAGCTGTGGAACATGAAATGGAGATTCAGGGCCTGCTTCAGTCTATGAGCACCAGGGAGCAGGAGAGCCAGGTAAGGCACAAAACCTGACAGGTTTTCTATACTGCAGCTGTGCTGTGCACATGGGAAGCTCTGAACCCTGTGACTTGGGTTTATTCACTTCACAGTCGACTCAGTTTCTTTCCTCCTTTATTACTTGCAGTTTTACATCAGTAAGTATGGAATGTTTTTGAGCGCTACATTTGGAAGATGGTCTAAAATATGTTAACCCATTAATTTTCTTTATCTTAATCCTCTGATTATTTTGAGAGAAAGGGAAATGGAGTTCTAAGGTATTTTGATCTAAATTATCAAGACTTGTGATAGTTTATATTTCTCACAAGATATCAAAAAACTTATGTTCAACATATTTATTTCTTCATATCTCCCCACCTCCCAAAACAGAGTCTTAATATTATAGCCTACCTGGAACTCACTATGTAGTCCAAACTGGCCTCAAATTAGAGATCCTGCTGCCTCAGCCTTCAAAATGCTGAGATTATAGGCACGTACTGTCACACCCAGTCTGTATTTTCTCCTTTAAAAAAATTATATTTTGCATTTATTTTATTTTTTATCATTATTTATGTATTTATTTATTTATTTGTGTGTGTGTGTTTGTGTGTGTGTGTGTGTGTGTGTGTACCTTGGTACATGTGTGGAAGCTATAGGACAACTTGTGGACGTTGAGTCTCATCATTTGGGATCCAAGGATTGAACTCGGGTCATCTGTCTTAGTAGTAAGTGCCCTTACTGACCAAGCCTTCTTACCAGTCCCATATTTTCTCTTAATTCTTTAAAACCTGAGTTATTTTAGGTGAAAGCAATTGTTTTTCAAAGGCTATTGTGTGAGAATAAATAATCTTGAAATAATATAGGATACAGTAATCTCAAAATTAGTGCACACTAATTCAGAAGTCAATTCTTTTTTGTTGTTTTTAGACAAGGCCTCACACTGTAGTCCAGGCTGGCCTGGAACTTACTGTGTAGCTGAAGCTGGCCTCAAACTCATGGCAGTGTTCCCACATCAGCTTCCTGAGTGTTAGAATTACAAGCATGATGCAGTGCACCCAACTTCAAAAGTGAATCCTCAGTCTTTCCTGATTTCTGCCTAGCTTTTTATTCAAGGTCAAAACCAGCAAGTTGACTTGTGGTTCTTTCAGGAAACAGTAATTGAAAATCTCCTTAGCCAGTGTTTAGAGGAAGCTGGATTCTTTCTCACCTGTGTTATTTGACCATAATCTGTTGTGCCACTTCTTTATATTATGAGGTGGTTATATGCCATTCTTCGAACTCTCTCATCCACTGCAGATCCCATTAGAAGCATCCTTCTGTGTGCTTCAGAAATTTCTTCTAGAACAGACCTAACAAAATAATGTGAATCATTGAAGTCTTTGGCAAAAGGCAAACAAGTCTTTGAATGTTCCTTCAGCCTTTGTGATGTGAAAGAATTGGTCCTCTGTACCTCAGAAAGAAGTATTGCGCACAATAGGTAGCAGCATAGTGGAGTGTAGGTGGTTACCGACACCGGAAATCATGGCAGCGCAACAGCAGTCACAGTCAGTACTTTTGTGGATCCGCTTCTTAAGTTTTACATGCAAAAAATTTGCCTAAATCGCTTTTAAAAGAATACACTCCCGAACTCACCCCCAGAGATGGAAACTAAGGGCTGGAGGTGGGACTTACGAATGTGCAGCTCTGACTGCTAGTTCCCAGCCTCCTGTGGTAGAGCACTGCAAAGCAGCACTGCTGGGTGAAAGCACCACGCTCAGTAGATGCCTCATGTGGCTTAAAATTTTCCCAGGGACTTTTACCTATAAACTTAAATAATATATCGATAACTGAAAGGTTCTCTCCAGATCGCAAAAGATTCCATGAAAATGGAAGGTTTTAAAAGTTCCTTTAGAAATTATGACAGAAACTTAGCTTTTATTTAAACAACTGATTTCTCCCTAGAGAGAGTTGATGCTATATTATATAGTGAATGCAGTTCCAACTCATCATCTGAGCACCCCTGAAAATTTAGTACTAATTATTTCCAGATTATCTTACTGGTTACAGACTTTCTTTTTAAAAAATTATTGTTGTTGTATGTGTGTATATAATGTGGTGGTGGGGTGGCATGCCACAGTGCACATGTGGAAGTCAGAGGATTACTGTGGAGTCAGGTCTCTCCTTTCACTTTATGTGAGTTTCAGAAATTGCACTCAGCTTGTTAGGCTTGTATGATAAGTACCTTGACCCGCTGAGCCACCTTGCTGACTTTCTGTGCATTGTTGTGCCATCATCTTAGAAAACTGTGGAATTTGAAATAATCTGGCTTTTAAAAAATTGTTTAATAGTTTCATACATTTGTATAATGAATTTTGGTCATTTTCACACTCTGCTGCTCCACTCTCTCACCCCCTCCCTCTCCGACTAGAACCCCTCTTCTAAACAAGTCCCCGTCCAACTTTCAGGTCTTTTTTTTTTTTTTTTTTTTTTTTTTGTATGTGACCCACTGAGTTTAATTAGAATTTCTTCTTGCCTGAGCGGGGTTGGGGGTTATTTACCCAAGCAAGGGCTACTTGTCAGTGGCCACCCCACTGAAGAAAACAGCGCCCTCTTCCTCCAACAATGGTAACTGCAAATAGTGCACCAGGGACTGAGGAAGGACTGAGGGACCTTCTTTTTTATTCTCTTTCCCTTTACTCTTTTGGAAAAAAAAATTTTCCTACTCCTTAAAATGTTTTGAAAGACCATGATTAACTTCTGGAGAATTTCATACATTCAGTGTATTTTGATCATATCCACCCTCTACTCCTCCCTCTTAATTCCTCCCAGATGCACCCCCACACCTTTCCAAGTTTATGTTCTTTTTTTGAAATAGCCCAATTCCTGATTTCAGTTCCTGCTGTCCATATATTGATGGGTATGGGGCCATCCAGTGGATCATGGTGGATCACCACCCTTAAACAAAACTGACTCTCCCTCCCTAAAGACTATCAAGTGTCAGTGGCTCCTCAGCTAGGGGTGGGAGCTCTTGAGCCCCTCCCAGCTCCTTGCTGGAATGTTGGCTGACTTGATCCTGTGCATGTCTTGTGCGGGAAGCTGTAGCTGCTGTGAATTCATGAGTGCCATGGTCCTGTCATGTCTAGAAGCCACTGTTTTGGTCTAGTCCTAGCTCTTCCAGTCCATCTCCCTCTTCTGCCATGTTCCCTCCCTGAGCCTTAGTGGGAGGAGGTATGATATACATGTCCCACTGTGGCTGAACACTCCACAAATACTTATTCTCTGTATTATGATCAGTTGTGAGTTTCTGTGTTCACCACTACCCGCTGTAGTAAGAAGCTTCTCTGATGAAGGCTGGGTGCCCCACTAACTTATGAGTATTGAAGGCAGTTTGACAGCATTTTGATTGGGTGCATTTTGAGGTTCAGGTTCCCGTAATCGTGTAGCCTGAGATGTTCATCTGCGTAATATATTTATTCAATAAATAACCATTAAGTACAGGTTACTGGTAGGTACTGTTTTGGGTACTTGAGATTAAGCACTAAGTTGTTTTTGTTTTCAGGAAATATACATTCTAGCTGGGGAGGAAAAAGGAAGGGAGAAAGAATAAAGACGTGTTAGATAACAGGAAATGCAATGGAAAAACTAAGCCTAGCAAAACAAGTTGGAAGGTATTAACAAGATCTCCCCCCCCCCAAGTTTTATTGAAATAGAATTGGCAAATAAAAATTGTATGAATTTAAGGCATGTAACATGCCTTTGATATAAATGTATACATTGTAGATGATTACTACAATCAAATTCACACATCTGTTACCAGTTACTGTTTATATGCATAATGTAACAAGACCCTTGAGATTTTCTGCATGCAAGTTCAAGCAAACAACAAACACACTGTTACTAACCATAGCCACTATGCCCTACTGTAATCCTCAGTACCAATGTTTGCATCCTTGCCCCATGAGATTGCATTTTAGATAGGATTGACAGAAAAGGCCAGTGTGATAAGGTGACATTTGCTAAAAGAAAGTAACCATGCCGATGTTTAGGTGAAGATCAGTTAAGGCTGAAGAAACAATTGGAGTAAAGAAAGCCATTTGTTATACCAATTCAACCCAGAATGTGTGTCTTATCTGTAATTGGTGTGCTGTCCTCACTACACATGAGACTCTGCCTGTAAGACACTTTCCACTCAATTATTCTTCATTATAAACAGAAGGCAGGGAAATTATTTCTGAGGCATCCACTGGATTTTTTTTTTAATAAGTGGGTGGTTTTAAAAATTAACACTTGAAAATACATTTTGTTTATTTTACTAGAATATCTTCTTAATGTTCCTTCTGATTTCTTCTTACTAGGCTGCTGCAGAAAAGATGGTACAAGCCCTCATGGAAAGAAATTCAGAATTGCAGGCCCTGCGCCAGTATTTAGGAGGGAAAGACTTGATGACATGCCAAGCATTCATCTCCAACCAGCAAGCTGAAGTTGCTTCCCTTGGCCCCCACCTTAGAGAGCAGACTGATCAAGTAAGAGCTGTAGACTCGAGCATTCTTGTCTACCGCATTTCTTTTTTAGGTTTCAGGCATCAGTCTGAGCATTTTAACTGCACATTATATGAGAATACTCCAGGTCCTGTCATGGTGCCCATGTCCCCTGTATCTTCCTAAACTCCCCAACTCTTCCCATTTCTAGGGTTCAATGCAAATACCCTCCAGAGATGATAGCACTTCATTGACTGCTAGAGAAGACACGAGCATACCCAGGTCCACCTTAGGTAAGTGTCAGTGGTTCTCCATAAAGATTCCATTTGGTTTTCTTTCCTCTATTTCTGTGTTAGTAGATTTGACCAAGACTTTGTTACTCCAGAAAATATTTAGATTCCCCCACTGAAAATCTAAGACATGTCAATTCTAAGAGAAACCACCCTTTCTTTACATGGTTTAGAAGCTGTTACTCTGGGGTCATGATTTGTCCCAGGGAAACTGAATCTTAAGTTTTGTTTTCAGATGGCTTTGCAGGGATTCAGAAATGCCTGAGGCAGAGCTTCTAAACCTGCACAGCAGGACCGCAAACTGGCCCCCTCTCCTGGGTGTCTGTGAGACCAGGGCTGCTCACTGTAACTTGTCATCACCAACCTTAAAGTGTTGAGAGGGATAGCCATTGTATGTTGAGTTCTTTTCAACCTCAGCCTTACCCAAAGGGTGGGTGTAGGGCTGACACTCCTTAAAGACAACTAAATTTTGTACTTGATGTGACCAAAATTTAAGTGAATGCTTTGGAGTCTGACTTTCACAAAGCAAAAGGTTAGCTTTTTGGGTCACCTTAAGGAAGATATTTCTGAGAGAGTTCTAGAAGTAGGAACTCATGGTAATTTACAAGGTGGTTATTACAGTGTTATAATAAGGAAGATTGTAGACATGGAAAATTAATCATTTTACTGATATTAAAGTGAAGAAGCTTTGTTCTGTGTTATAATGAAGGGATTTAGAGCACGCAGTAGAAAGTAGAAAGTCTCTCCAGCTGTCATTTTCTAGTAGGAAGATCTTATGCTGGTCAAAGAGTAAAGAATGATGTGTTGTTTATATTAGCCTTTAAAAGCAACATGCTTCCTGCCAAGTTTTTAGTTTGGAAATTTTATGCCTACAGAAAAGTGACAAAAATAGCACAGTGAGTACCCATGTGCATTTTTATTAGGGTTCATCAATTGTTAACATTTGCCAACATTTATATTATTTCTTTCCGTCCGTGTACACACACATCAAGAGAGGGTTTTCTTCTGAACCATTGAAAGGTTTCTTATAGATATGGGTACCAAATATAAGGGCATCTTCCACAGGAAGATCTACCATAAGTTCTGTCAGCACTATCTACCATAACTGTGATGCTAGGGAATTTGACCTTGATTTAATCTATGAATCTAACTTACTTTCTTTCTTTCTTTCTTTCTTTCTTTCTTTCTTTCTTTCTTTCTTTCTTTCTTTCTTTCTTTCTTTCTTCCTTCCTTCCTTCCTTCCTTCCTTCCTTCCTTCCTCTTTCTCTTTCTCTTCTCTTGTTCTCTCTCCTCCCTCCCTTCTTCCCTCCTCCCCTTCTTCCTCCTTTCCCTCCTCCTCCTCCCAACTCTTCTTTTATGAGACAGTCTCATGTAGCCCAGGTTAGCCTCACACTCACTATATAGCCAAGGCTGACTTGAATTCCTGGTCATCCTGCCTCCACATCCCAATTGCTGAGGTCATACGCATGTGCCACCATACCCAGCAAGTCTTACTTTCTAATAAAAAGTGTTTGTAACTACTTTCATCCCAACAATACTCACTTGGCTGCTCTGCGTTCTGCCTCATGGCCATGCATTCTGCCTCATCTCTTTAGACTTCTGAATCTAGATTTTTTTTTTTTGACCGATTTTTATTTTTTGTGACTTCAGGATTTTAAAAGACTGTTTCTTCATTGTTATGTTCAAATTAAACATTTTTTTGCAGGAATACTATGAGTGATGTCTTTTTCAAGGCATAAATCAGTTTTTACCAGCCTTGGTGACATGGTTACAGTTCTGTGTGCCTACAGATCTTCCCTTTGTCAAGGTTCACTTTTCCTTTTGTAATTATTAAAGGATCCAACAGCTGACATTGTTGTCACATGCTGACAGTTCCTTTTGAAAGTTGTTCTCTCTGTGGTTTAGTGTCCTTTGAACCTTGCCCGAACCACCTTTTAGTGAACCACTAATAGTCTAAAAACCAATTTTCTATTTCTGAACTTCTATATTTACTATTATTAGATTTTGTTGTTGTTTAAAAAAAGAAAGAAAGAAAATAGCTGTCCTTCTCTGGCTCCTTGTCTGTATCAGTATGGATTATCACTTTAAAAAACAATCAATCACTGAATAGCCAGGCATGGTGGTGAACGCCTTTAATCACAGCACTCTGGAGGCAGAGGCAGGTGGATCTCTCTGAGTTCAAGTCCAGCCTGGTCTACATAGCAAATTCCAGGCCAAAAGAAAGAAAAAAGAAAAGAAAACAACAACAAAAGCTATCACTGCTTTACACTGTCGTGTCTATCTCTGCCTTACACTTTCGTGTCTACCACTGTCTTATACTGTCGAGTCGATCACTGCTTTACACTGTCTTACACTGTCATGTCTATCTCTGTCTTACACTAGCTTGTGTATTTTGGGTATATGCCATTTGATGCCCAGATTAGTCTGTGTTCAGCCAGTAGCAGCTGTTCCTTTGTCCTCTTGCTATTTCCCTATCAGTTTTTGAGAACTTCCAAGTTTCTGGCACTGTGAGATGTTCTGAACAGTCACCTTTTACCTGTCTCATTCAGCTTTGCAATCAGCTGTTAACCCAAAAAGCTCCCCCGTCTTAGTCAGTGATGACATTTAGAAACTAAGATCTAGGTGCAGATGTTTTCCTTGGTACACGAATGTCATTTGTATCTAGGCCCCTTTAAATCAACGGAGCTGGCAACAAATCCTTAAGAACTGTAGGTGTGAATGGTGATTTGTACTGATTCCCATCGTTCCAATCTAACAGTAGTTATTCTTTGTCGCATCCTCCTTCTCCCAACATTCCATTTTGTCGTTTGTTATAGCAAATACTTATTGCCATATAGATTAATTATTTATGTTAGCATTCAGTTTTAGGGTTTTTTCCCCTCACTCATTATTGTTTAGTTAATGTACACATTAAAAATTAATCATTAACATACTTCAGAAATCAAAAATATAAAAAGATCAACTCAGAAGCCTCATCTACGTTTCTGTTTCTCATTTCTGCTACCCCTGAGGGTACCAGTTTCATCTCTGTATTTTCTTTCCTATGTGTCTTTAAAAGATAAGCAGATGATTCATGTGTGTATGTGTGATGCGTATGCATGGTCTTTCCTCCTTCCCTTAGTAGATACATTCTTCTGTATCTAGATTATTTTAGTACCCTTGAAATCACTCCAAATAAGTTCCTAAACCCCTTTCTCGTTCTTTATTACAGCTGTGTAGTGTGGTCCACTGTGTGGCATGTTCTGGTCTATTCTGTCTGTTCTTTTTAGCATATGGCTTAGTTGTAGTGTTTTCCTGTTACAAATGCTGCTACAGGATAAAGCCTGTGCATGTATTTTTTTAAAGTGCTGGATGTGTTCTTAGACTAAAACTCTCAGAAGTGGGCAGCAGAGACCACAGCATGTTTTTGGTGATTAAAACTAGCACTGTGTATCTGTTTTAGGAGACTTGGACACAGTTACAGGGCTCGAGAAAGAGCTGAGTAATGCCAGAGAGGAGCTTGAGCTCATGGTGCGAAAAGAAAGGGAAAGTCAGGTAAGCTCTCCATAAGACAAGTTTGCACATTCCTGTTTCTTCTTTCAAATAGTTTACATTTTAAAAAGTCCAGTTCTCCAAATATGATGTCTGACTCCAAACGCTGGCTATGCATATGCCTTTTTTCCTTTTGTTTGAGTCAGGATCTCCCTGTAAACTTGGGTGACCTAGAACTTGCCATGTAGACCAGGCTGGCCTCAAACTCACAGAGAGCCTCCGCCTGCCTTTGCCTTCTGAGTGCTGGGAGTAAAGGTGTGAGCCTGATGGTGTCAGCAGTGACAGCAGCTTCAGACCTTATTAATTCATTAAAGAACCTAAGATGGAGGCTTTCTAATTCTGTTTTCATTTATTAGCTGAAGTATTTAAGATAAACTTCATTTCTTCTTGCTTCTGCTAGTGACAACTAATTTTTAAATATCAGAGTAAACTCTAATAAAATTTGTGGTTTATAGTAGAAGACATTAGAAACAACTCTTAGAGTTTCTTATAAAATATCCTTTGGTCCCATACCACATGACTTACTCATTTGACTCACAACACTATTTTTTAGTTTTCTCTTGTATTACAGCCTGATTGTAATATGACATGAAAAAGCATTTGCTTTATTGTTAAAATATAATTGTGACAGATTCCATTTCCCCTGCCTGCTGATGCCAGTTTTTCTTCTGTCCACAGATGGAGCTTTCTGCTCTACAGTCCATGATGGCTGTGCAAGAGGAGGAGCTGCAGGTGCAGGCTGCTGACCTGGAGTCCCTGGCCAGGAACATACAGATAAAAGAAGACCTCATAAAGGTCTTCCCAAGCTTTTTTAAAACCACTGGACTTGTTCATAGCGCAGTGTATCACTAGGGTATCTTCGAACAAGATGTGAATATATTGAATCCTTTGACCTTGAAATAGCGCAGACTGTTTGAGGATTTGTCCCCCACCCCCGCTCGCCCCGCCTCTGCTGAAAGCATTTTTGTTACTTTTAAAAAATATTTGTGTGTATTTTTTTTCCTCTAGGACCTTCAGATGCAGCTGGTTGACCCTGAAGACATGCCAGCTGTGGAACGCCTGACCCAGGAAGTCTTACTTCTTCGGGAAAAAGTTGCTTCAGTAGAATCCCAGGGTCAAGAAATGTCAGGAAACCGAAGACAACAGGTAAGTTATTGGAATGCAAGTTCCTGTGCAGCCACTATGCACGTCTAACCTTCTCAATGCCAAATTTTTCAAAGTCTTCCCTGCCCCATTCCCCGTGCCTCCCCTGTTCCCCGCTCTCTAACTACTCTTCTCACCCCAGTCTAGCTTTTATTTAGTGGAAATAGACCCCTGCTGGTTACATCATTGCAGCTCATTTTTATGGCATAATATAAATCTCACACACACACACACACACACACACACACCCGTCTGTAGTTGATGAACATCTTTCCTCCTACTAGAAAGTAAGCTTTTCCCTAGAAGTAGAATCAGGCCTGTCACATCCTGGAAGATAATAATACTGAATGAAAGACCTTTGAAAGCCAGGGAGTCGTGTTGCTGTACGACTCACTCTTGCTCAAATCCCCTCCCTTCGTTTTCTTAGCCTCTTCCTGTGCTTCTGGATTTTCTCTCCTTTTTTTATCTGTTACTACCATGTATGAATTTGTCTAATAGGATTTTTTAAGAAATAAAATGATAACCATGTGATATTGTAAAGTGCTGCAGGCGGCTTAAGTGGTAAGATACTGGGATGCTCTAGTCATAGTACATGCTGATGCACTGTGCTGTCTCTCAGGATGAGCTGTGACTCCCTGCCTCACTTACTGTTTCCACGTGGCATCTTCCCTCTCCTTCCCTAGCTGCTGCTGATGCTGGAAGGACTGGTGGATGAGCGGAGCCGGCTCAATGAGGCCCTGCGAGCCGAGAGGCAGCTCTACAGCAGCCTGGTCAAGTTCCACGCCCATCCGGAGAAGTAAGAAAGGGGCCGGACTTCTTGATTTCTGTCCTTTTTTCTTTTTTCTTCTATTCTTTATTAAGTGCAGATGCTTAAAATACCAAAGAGGTGGGAAAAAGAAAGCTGCTCACTTTGCCATTTGTTGTGTGGATTGGTCTGAGCCTCAGGGTCTAAATCCTAAATTAGGAATAATGTGTATTTCCCATAACTATTGCAGAGTTTCACCAAGGCAGCCTAGGTGTCTGGAAGAATGCCTTGCAGATAGTAAGCACTCAGTGCCTCCGTAGTAAACACTCGGGAGAAGTTCCTTTCCTTTTTCTGCTCCATGCCTGTTAAAGGCTGTTCTGTTATACAAAGTAAGGTTATGAAGGGCACTAACCCCTCATTTAATCAATGAAAAAAAATTGTTGTGATGGAAAATACCACCCCAGGATGGCTGATGGACCGTCATGATGAATATATTTTCTTACGCTTCTTAACTTTGTGTGTATCTTTCTGGCTTGTTTTAGTCTACCTTGATTTTTTGTTTTTGTTTTTGCCTTCCTCGTATCTTTTGCTCTTTCAACATTTTAACTTTTTATTCTTTTCCCTTTTTTTCTAATTTTATTGTGCTTTAAAAATTGTTTCCTTTCCACTTCAGGAAAATGAAAGCAGAGGACAGGTGTGGTAGGAGCCCTTGCTTGCATAACCTTTTAAAAGAAATTCTCGAATATTAGTCTTTGTGAACTGGTTTCATTTTCAGAGCACTGTCAAGCTTGGGCCAGACGAGAAAACAGTATCTCCACTAGCAGCCCTCGGCCCATTATTGCTTCAATTTCCAGTTTTCTTGGGTTTTTGGTTTTTCATATACTAAAGCTCTTAGCCACATAATGAAACTTCTCTTATGTTGGCTGTGAGATCAATCCTAAGAATTAGAGTTTTATGTGTAAGTGGTCCAGAATCTAGCCTAAAGAGATAAGCTTCAAAGAAGGCAGCAGGCCTTGCTAATCTTCCAACAATGAACCCAAGTGCCACAACAGAGGCTACATTACCTTAGAAAGTCCTGTGACCCCAGTGGCACTGATGGCTCTTTGGAAATATGTGGACTCTTGAGAGTCGATGGCTAATCCATTTTCCTTCCGTGTGGCATGTTTAATCAGCTCTGAGAGAGACCGAACTCTGCAGGTGGAACTAGAAGGGGCCCAGGTGTTACGCAGTCGACTAGAAGAAGTCCTTGGAAGAAGCCTGGAGCGCTTAAGCAGGCTGGAGACCCTGGCCGCCGTTGGAGGTGGGGAACTGGAGAGTGTGCGAGTTCGTCACAAGCATGCCTTCTGAGCACTGGCGGGTCAGACTGCAGCCCAGGATGGAAGCCTTGCTTACGCTAACAGAGAAAGTCTTGTCTGATGTGGCAGAACTAAGTGGTGACGTACTAATGGTAGGATTGGTACAAGTAGTGCCAGCTACAAAGCAGAGCTCATTTTGGTCATCCCAGCTCTTACCTGAATGATGACGGTCATATTTGCACATTTAAATCATCCAGTTTTGATTTTCTCGCTCATATGCATTCTTCTCCCTAGCTCTCCTTCTCATTCCCCTATCCTTTCTATGGGCCAATAAAGTTTATCCCCCCCCAATCCATTTCATATGTTCCATATCATGTCATAAAATGCATGTGTATGTATTATTTTTGCCATCCAAACAGTCCCTGCTTGCTTTTTGAGAGCAATTTTTAATCAAATAAAAGAATAAAGTACAAGTTTCAAGTCGAGAGAAAGAAAGATTGAGAGTCCATAAGATTGCCCTTGAGAACGTGGTATAACCGTTACTGAAGGTAATCAAGACCAAAGCAATGGATTCGGCCAAGCTGAGGAGCAGCCACATTAAAGTTTATAGTAAGCCTTCCCCTCCAGTGCTGTTTCAGAGTTGACTGTTAATAACACAGGTGAAATTAGATTAGAGGACACCGAGTTCTACTGTATAAAACTATATAAAATTTTTTCTTCACTGATCCCCTAGGATCATTTAGTCAGAACCTGACTTTGAGAAAGGTCCTCTAGTACAAAGTTAATTTTCAATGTAATATCTCCCTCTTTTTTTTTTTTTAAAACAAAACAAAACAAAAAAACAGGGTCTTACTATGTAGCCCTGGCTGGTCTAGAATTCCCTAAGTAGACCAGGCTGGCCTCAAAGTCATAAACGTATAGCTGCCTCTGCCCTTCCCAGTGCTGGAGTGCTGGGATTGAAGGCATGCACTACCATGCCCAGCAGTGTCCCCTTTTGAAGCCAGTATTTTGCCAGTTACCCCAGAGCCAGAGAAGAGCATTGCTTCTAGATTCTCTTTAGAGTCTCGTTTGGAGGTGGCACTGGGTGGCAGTCATTATTTTTCACTTTTCATGTGTATATATGTCTTCATACTAAAGTAAGCTTTAGGTGCATAAGTGCAAGAGGCCTTCAGAATGGCACGACACTGGTCTGTGTAGCTTCAGGCCTTGCTGCTGCTTTCTTGTGACAGCATGGCAGGCGTGAAGAAAGGCCACTGGAGCTTAAATGTCAAGAGTAGGAGAGGTGAGTGAGATTACTGCGGAGGCCTGTGGGTTCCACACCACACTTTTCTTATGACTGCAGGATATGAATTTCCTAGATTAGAAACTAAGGTTTCAGTTATGTGAAGCATGGTACTGAGAGAACAAAATCCAGGCTTCTTAGCACCCTACAGAAGACCGAGTCCCCTTCCTAAGCTACATTGAGCCCATGGTTCTGCTTTTTCCTTGGTTCTTTTACATGGCACATTGACATTCATGTGTTGATGTAGCTTGTGTTGCAGTCTAAATTCTATCCAAGATTCTGTAACCTCAGCTGTGTCTGGAACAGATGAGCATCAGTCAATCTAAAGTGGAAAGGAAGAAAATGTTCTACCAGAGAAGCATCCTGGAATCTTCTGATGAAGTGGTCCACCACGAGTCATAGCCATTCCCTTTACTTGATGGCCATTTCAGTTTTAATGGCCTTGGGGGAGGGGTCATTTAATAGGAAAGACAGGAAGTGTAAGCAGAACCAGACATTTTTCTTAGTCTCCATTCTAAGAGACCCTCCCTGCCGTCACTAAACTTTGTGTGACTTTAACAAGGAAGAGCATAATAGAGTTAAACTATAGAAATGTCAACTCATTAAAAAACTAGTTTATAATATCATTCCAAGGCAGTTAGGAAGCATGTTCCCTTAATTTACTAATAGACCAACAAAGTTTTGCAAAGTTGCTATTAAGCTTTAATCATTGATGATTCTTGGGTTCTAATGGTTCACAATGTTTATAGTAATGTATGTTAGTAATTATTGCATCTACCAACCTCTAAGAGTGGTTTGACAGGTAAATTAAGAATCTGTTGTTGATACCATAAATGTGACTAAAATCTGGTACTGACTTTCTGGTCTTGGTGGGTAGAATGAGGCTGGAGGCAGTGCTACCTAGAGAGAACATGCTGGTCCAATAAGCTTATGTAATGATTTGACATCTGACTACAAAACACAGTTATGATGAATGTTAGCCTCTAACTCTGCACAGATGGATGGTACTGTGATTTTATACATCACATAATCAGATTTAGCATGATGTACTATGCTTTCATTCTTATGTAGAAACACAGACTCTGTTAACTGGATTTGTCTGCCTTTATTGTAATATTAAAAAGAATCCTGACAAATTTAAATTAAAGCATCATGTGCTTATAGAAGCTTGTGCTTTAATAAAAAAAATCTTGAAAGAAAAATGAGATAAATTTTACTTAGACTATGCTCAATTAGAAGCACAGAACTCTAGAAAAATCCATTATTGATAGACTTCATTTGTCTCACATTTTCTTTTAAATGTGGAAAATATGCAGATTAATGGTTTTAAGAGTTCAAGTCAGTAAGCCTAGTCTTTATAGAGTTAAAAGGGACTCTAAGAGGATTTGTTTTATGAATAAAATGGAAATCCTGTGACATGTTTTTCCCCAAACTCTTTTCTGTTGTAGAGTATTTTGTTGCTGTATATCTGCTTTTGTAATACCAGGGATTGAACCCAGAGCTTTGTGCAAGATAGGCAAGCACTCTAACTAAGCTTGCATCTCTAGTCCCTCTATTGTAGGTTTAAAGTACATTATTGAAGTCTGATTATTATTAGTGTCTTCTGTTAGTCAACATCTTTCTAGTTTTCTATTTTCATCAGTGTAGCCAAGTTATAACTTAGGGAAAGGGATGGTTGTGCCATTTCAGTGCGCCAGCCTCTATTTGGATAGGGAGTGTTCTTACTCCTCGCTCTCCCCTCCGCCTTGGCTGCCTTCATGCCCACTTCTCTTCATTCGGTTATGGGCAACAACAATATTTTTAGTACCACTAATCTTATGGGCAGTACATCTTTCCTTCTCCATATTTTAAAAGATTTTTAGTTACATTATCTATAGAAAGAGACTCACTAAGGATCAAAGAAAGTCATAATCTGTACCAAATTCCAGCTGCAGAAAGCATTTCCTGAGAGGGCCCCTTGGTAGATTCTTATAGTTTGCATCTCAGTGACTACTGTGGGAGACCTGTGTAAAGATGAGTCACTTGTACGCTTGCTTATGCTCCCAACTCACTGTCTAGGTTGTGAGAAGTTGGGCTTGAAGCTTCAAAACAGTCAAGAAAATCAATTTTAGTGTTCGCCACTTTGATCTTCAAGTCAGATCAGGATCTCATGATTAGGAAAGCAGTAGTAGACAGTGCAGTGAAAATTAAAGTGTTTGGCAGGTCCGTAGGAAAGGCAAATCCACGGGCAGTGGCCTGCAGGAAAGGAGGGCAAACCTTCTGTAAAGCTAGGAAAAACATGCTGGAATGCATGACTTACAGGCCATCTTCAATCTGGCCTTGAGATGAGTAGAATCAGTGAAATTGGGTTTATGTTTAGATACTGTCCCATGAGATGCAAGCACATATTTTCTCATTTCTCTTAAGTTAAGGCTCAGAAAGCTCTCTTTTTGATAGTATAGAACCATTTATACTCTGGGGGTCGGGGGACATCTGGAGCCTGGAGCTCATCTATGAGAATCCAGCGATTAAAACAAGAATGAGTGAATAGGCCGTACATTGGCATGGTTTCTCTATGGTGAGAGTTTCTGAGTCTTACTGCATTTGGAATATGGGTCTATGTTCCCCCTTGCCATTTGCACATTAGCTTTATTAAAGTGTTTTATTATAACTAGAAAACAGACGTACTGCCTTTATGTGCTCTGAGTATTGGTAGAAGGTAAGTCCTCAGCATTTCTACATAATCACACAAGCCAGGACAAGTTTTCCAATAAAAATTAGCATTCTAATTTATCTCCAACAGAGAACGAAATGGAAGGGAAATCCAAAAACTATAGAACCAACGAGTTTTACCAGATTTCAAACAGGAATAATTAAATGTACAAAGTGATTCACTCGTTTTTGTGTTCTTTTCCTTTTTTTGGTTTAAAGTCAAATTCCAGAAATAAAAATATTATACTGCCTTCCTCATGCTAAAGCTGGAAGAATAAAATAGAAAGTTCAACAACATTGCAAAGTGTTTGACATAAAGTAATCTGAAGAGCAGGACTGACTGTTAGGCACACGAACCAGATGGGCTTCCCTGTTCCCTAGAACTGACCGAGTAGCAGAAGCCAGTAGATTGGCTGTTGGCATATAAGGAGGGTACACTGTCCTGCTTTATACAGTCATCAGTCAGCCATCTTTCTACAGACTGACTTCTCAACCTGTAACCTTCAGAGGCAGAGCCATATACATATGCAAGCATGTTTTATAGATCATACATCTATGTTCAGGTATTATGAGTTTAATAATAAAAGCAAAGAACTTGCTTTGATCATTTAAATTTTTGTGGGCTGTTGAGAAAAAGTGACTCATCACGACTTCAGAGAAAGAAGGGCAGTGTTAAGCGACCAGAGCTTGGCACTAAATGCTTTCCAGACCTTTTCCTACCACATTAAACTGTGCATTTTTCTCCAGAAGTTCATTTCTTTATGGACCTGTGCTGTTAAACTATAAATATTTGTGCTAAAATTGCAGCCTGTGCTTTTTCATATATGAGTTTTAGTATATTGACTACTTTAGTTGCACAAAGTTTAGTTGTTACTGTCCAATAAAGGTATCAAAGGCCAACAGAAACTATTTGGTTTCATTTTTAAAGATTTATGAGAAAAGATATAGAGAAGCCTCATATCTTTTTTCTTTTCCTTTATAGGAGAACCAATCTATTGGTCATTGTACTAAATTTCCAAGCCAACGTAAGGC